CAAAAATTATCATGAGTAGAAGAAACACTGCCTATCAGGCCTATCAGCATTTTCACAGCCAGTGGTGGAGTTCCTGTCACCCTTTCCTCAACCTTGATGAATCCTATTCCTTGTCTGGAACTATGGTCACGATAAAAGTATAGTCTCCATTCGATTGCTATATTTCCATCTGTGTAACCTGACATGTCATGAAAATACATAGTGTAAACAAGTCATAAATATTTGCTGTTTAAATCCAGTGGCGGGGCTAGAGTGATGGCTCAGTGGTTAAGAGTATACACTATTCTTACAGAGGGCATGAGTTCGATTCTTAGCACACATGTTGGGTGGCTCATAATCTACAGCTGCAACTCCAGGGGATACAATACCTCTGGCCTCCAAGAGCATCTGCATAAATACATCCACTAAATTTGAGAATTTGTTTCAATGGTGCATACTAATTAATCCTGGATGGTAAAATGTAGTATCAGAAATGTAAAGAATAATAACCCCAGAAGCAAATGATGAATCCAAATTGATGAGAACTCAATATTCATGCATATAATAGCAAACCCAATTTTTGAATACTAATATTGAAAAATAAAAATGATATGTTCATACTATACAGCATGCTTTGAAAATATGAGTACATTACTCAATGACTGAATGCCAATGCTTTAATTTAAAATTATACAATTTTTAGAAATTTATATTTCATGTATGATTTTATCTCAGATTTTAGAAGATAGTGACATTCTGTTCCTGTCAAATACCAGTTTTTAATATGCAACTGTTTGCACTCAGCCAAAATACATATTTGATGTCTCTCTAAAATAATGTAAGAAATGAAAATTTTATAAATAAAACAGTTCCTTGACAGAAATTCAAAATGTTTTGCAAATTAAGTCACAAGATTATTTTACTAAAAAAATGCCTTGATCCTTTTTAATCCCAGCTTTCCTCACTACCATTCTGTCTCCTATCTTTCCCCTTCTGCTGCCACCAACTGGCTTCCATTACTGCTAAATTCCAGCAACCAGCAGGATTCAATTCAGTGCTTTGTTTTGACTGCTGGGTTCCTGGTAGGAAAATCAACTCAGATGAATAACTAAATTTTTAGGCTGCTGACAGAAAATCACAATCAACTCACTTCCTTCACATCTCAAGTTATCAGATAGCCATACAGTAGCTGGTACTTGTCCCAGCAAGTGGGCCAGACAAAGCTCCATGCTAACAAAAGAAAAGCCATTTTCATTGTTGAGTTAATAGTCTCCTCTCAGGGAGAAACAAGGTTAAAAAACGACAGAGCAATTATGTAAAAGCAAACAAAGGTCAAATCAAATGTAACAGTGCAGCAGTACACTTGGAAATTCAGAACTACAAATGTAACACATTTATACAAAAGATCGTTAAACATCCCCCATGGAGGGATAATTGCCTTAACCTAGAGACAGGAGAGAAGCCCTAGTCCCTACTTCAAATGACATGTCAGATCTACATGACCCCACCTGGATGGCATTGCCCTGCATATAGAATTGGGGTGGGGGGATGGGAGGGGAGGGTGGTCAGGGTGCATGTGAGAGGGCAGAGAGGGTAAAAGGGAGGGAAGGAGGGATGGAGGGAGGGACAAAGGGAAGAGGGAGGGAGAGGGAACTGGGATGGACATGTAAAATAATAAATTAAATTTAAAAAAGATCTGTTAAAAGTAGTATGTAAATAAAATTTCGGTCTTGTTTATTTAGTTTTGTGAAATTTTGAGCAGTAAATATATTTTTAACTTTTTGTTTCAGCCAATATCTGCCATTTTTTGTTAGAGGGATGAAAAGATTTTTTACAAATCAAAACTATTTAAAATTTAGTGTTATAAATTAAAATTTTAAGTTTAGCTGGGTGGTGGTGGCTCACACATATAGTCCCAAAACTCAGGAGGCAGAGGCAGGTGGATCTCTGAGTTTGAGACTAGCCTGGTCTACAAAGTGAGCCAGAGCTGTTATGTAGAGAAACCCTTTCTTGAAAAACCGAACAACATAATAAAACAGGTTTAAAGTATAAAATAAATATAAAAAACCTTTCAGGTAATGGTTTTCATAAGTGGTTAGCTAGCATTTATACTTCAAAAATTTTCAAATGTTAACATAACACTTGGAAAATTATGAATTCACATGATGCTTGGATGCCAACATTTATAACTTGCATACATTAAAAGAAAATTCAAGTCATTTATAAAACAAAAACAATGTATATAGATAGGTAAAATAGAGTCAGTTTTGAAGCCAGAGAGACTTACCAAGTGAGCCTGTCACTAAATAGAGGATGCACCTTTTTTTTTGTTTTCTGACTCCAATACTAGCGTGCTCCATTCGACAGCTTTGGCATAAACACAATGCCACATTATGCCACAAGGCCAGAATGTTTAGATTACTAGTTCCATATGAGTGAACCAAGTAAAACCTCAGGGCATACAAATAATAAAAGCAAGGAAAAATTGCTATGGGAATATACCTAAATAAGGCCTTTAAATTCACATGGTCTTAAGTAATCAGGGCTTAGTTTCCAACTAGCTTCATTGTAGACAACACTGATAGTATGTATCCTAGAACAATCTAAGTTACTTTACAGAAATGTGAAGGCCAATTTTGCAGAAAAAAACAAAGCAACACAAACAAACAAAAAAACAACACTAACACAAAAAAAGCAAACAAAACCCTCTTTTTCTAGAAACCATGGATATCTAATGGATGACCAAAGTGGCTTGACATCTGTCTTCCCATTCAATGTATCCTTTTTGTTTTCATTTTTCTTTCAGACATGGTTTCTCTGTAGCTCAGCTTAACCTTTTAGACATGCCAACCCCTCTGCCTCAGCCTTCCATGTGCTGTGATTATAGGCATGAACCACACCTGGCTTTGCTCACTTAACCCTCCAGTCTCACTCTACTTAGTCAGTTCTCTATATAAAGATGTTGATATTTTGAGTTCAAGACTAATGCAGTTTATTACCTGTTAGACAAACATTTATTTTCTTCTCCCCAACCCTTACACATTTGCAGCAGCCCAAGTACAATATCCCTCAGCCTTATAATGCAGAAAGCAAACCATAAGGCCAGGGCATTTATGTCATGTGATGACAGTAAGAAAAAGAACTCAACAGCTCCAGACTCAAGTTCTAAAAGCCCTTTAGAAAAGCAATGATGCCAGCAATAGGAGAAACTCAAAGAGTTCCCTGGATAAATCACCTCATGTTGGCCCATCAGGTACAAGATCAAGATATTTGATGGAAAGAAAAAGGACATCTATTGAAAAGATGTCCACAATTAATACACAATTGTCAAAACACCCCACTATCCCGCAAAGAGGATCAGTAAAAACATGCTGTTCCTTTTTTCAACTAAGCAGCCTGAGAACTTCTGCTTAGTGTTAGCTCCCTTCTGTGCTGGACTTCAAGTTCCAATAAAGCCTCATCTGTCTTGTCCATTATATGCAACTTAGTCTCATTTCTGTTTTTGTTTGTTTTTTTTTAAGATTTATTTTTATGTATACGGTGCTCTGTCTGCCTGTAGGCCAGAAGAGGGCACCAGATCTCATGATAGATGATTGAGAGCCACCATGTGGTTGCTGGGAATTGAACTGAGGACCTCTGTAACAGCAGCCAGTGCTCTTAACCTCTGAGCCGTCTCCAACGCACTTAGTCTCATTTCTACTGATCCCAGCATGCAGAAGTATCTAGAACTCAGGAAGTGTCGATAAGAGAACCAGAAGTTTCTTCTGCTGTGTAGGGATTTGAGGTCAGTCTGGGATAGACACTTTGTTTTAAGAAAGAGAGGATGCAGTATGGCTAGAGGGTGTAGCTCAAGGTTAGTTACAGTATATCCCTATATCCTGACCTCAAGAGATTCTAGTTTGGCGGATCTATACTTGGGCTACACAGTGACTGAATTTAAAAACATACAGACTTGAGGCTGTTTCACAGAGCTTCTGATTTAATTGGTCCAGTCTATACAATAAGCATCAGGAATTTTAAAGGCCCCTGGTGAAGCTAATGTGTAACCAAAGCCGAGAACTACACTCTACTTCACTGGGTAGATGTTCAATGCTCCGATTTTTAAAAGTTTCACCTGGTTTATTTATTTACTTATTTTATGTGTGAGCAGATCGAAGGACAATCTGCAAGGGTTGGTTCACTCCTATCAAGTCGTTCCCTGGGATTGAACTCAGGTAGTAAGGCTTGGCAGCAAGTGCTTTTACCTGATAAGCAGTTTTGCCGGCCCTAGAGTGCCATCCAATATGTAATAGTAGCACCAAACACGAGTTTTTGATGAAAAGTTTAAAAAAATTAATCAACAGCCAAGTATTTTGGTATAGGTGGCCAGCCTGGTATACATAGTGAATGCCAGGCCAGGACTGCATAGTAAGCCCTGTCTTAAAAACAAAAACAAACAAACCAAAACGGTCATATAGACATATCTTTTTTAAATTTCTCGAGAAACAATCCCTATTTAAACAGTGTGATTTTGTTTATGAGGAATTAGATATAAAAAACAAAAAACAAGAAAGGGGCAGAGGACAGAGATGACTAGAAAGGTTAAACCAGGAAGAAATTCCAGGGATAGAAATGTTACATATTTGGATTAAGGTAAACAGACAAACAGACATATATATATATATATATATATATATATATATATATATATATATATTCATATATATATATGAATATATATGAATGATATATACTTATCAAAACACCAAAACGGCCAACTGAAATTTCCATTACGATGTCGCCGTAAATAAACCGGTTACAAAGAGACGTGGTTAATTTGAATGTGGGTATGTATCATTATTGCTGCTAGCCCCTTCTAAGTTAAAAAAGCACAACAAACTGGAGCTAAGAATCAGTAAGAAGAGGAAGCCGATAGCTGGGAGGATCCAGCCTAAGGAATCACTAGAATTCTGGCAGTTGGAAGCCAGGTACTTTTAAAACTGCCCAAACGGAGCGTCCCAGGAAAAGAAAACCTCGCTTTTTCCGGCACGCACAAAACCGGCCCAGTGTCCTCACCGGAAGGGTCCGGAGGGAAACGCTGCCACCGAGGCAAAGGACCCGGTAGCAACTTGGTTCCTGCGCGGATGCTGGGGCTGTAAGGAGCCAGGCGGTTGGCTGGTTGTGGATCGCAGAAGAAGGACGCTGGGGCCCGTCGTCCATCCGCTGCTACTATGATCCCGGTGTCGCTGGTGGTGGTGGTGGTGGGTGGTTGGACCGCCGTCTACCTGGCCGACTTGGTGTTGAAGGTGAGGGCCTCGGGCCTAAGGCCTTAACCGGCGGAGCCCAGGGCTGGTGCGCATGGTCCTGTGTTGCCCGAGGCCTTTCCTCCCTCCTTGCCAAGTTCTCTGCGGGAGGTGGGGGAGGTGGGACCCACTCCGCCGCTGTGTGCACCCTTCAGCGTGGTGCATCCGTCCGGCGGAGTAAATAAAGCCGGCCAGGCTGCGGGAGGGGTGTGGTGGCCTGAGCTGTAGCCGCATTGCGGGCGCCGGGTTCCTGCAGCTTTTGGCTTCTTCCCGGGAGGAGCTTATAGTGTGAGCTTGGGAGGCAAGGCTGGAAGGAGGAAAGAAACTAAAACATCCGCTTAGGAAAAGGCAGTGTTTTCCTTCTTTGTGCTAAGGTTACGACCCGACACACGCTGCTGGTACTGGGATGAATGGAAATCAAATCATGATTTAAATCACCGGTATCAAACTTGAAACTGCCCCTGAGCACCCGAGGTTTCGGTTAAAGTTTAGATTCTGATTCAGCATGTCTGGAAGGAAAGCTAAGATGATGTATTTCTAACAAGTTCCTCTGTCCTGCCGACGGTGCTGACCCACAGACCATGCTTTAAAGTATCATGCTTAAGTAGCAAGAATTTAGATAGCCACGTTTTCTACGACTCAAATTCTAACTCACACCCTATACTCTCTCCTTCATAATGACGACACACACCCTGGGCATACAGTATGTTTCTTAAGTGTTGAGGGTGTTAGAATGTTAAGAAATTCCAACAGCTGTCTGAGCACATGGTTTAAACACCCTTAGAATGGAATGGGTGTAGAGAATATGAGCTTAGAAATTCCAAAGGGTTTAAAAATTACAATCATGAATAGTAAGTAAAACCTTCATGTATTTTTTAAAAACAAATGCTACATGGTGTTGCATCTTAGATAACAATAAAATGAAATGCCCCCTGTACTTCTCCATGTATTTAAACTTTAGAGCCAGATCTAGGAAGTGTAGCCTAACCTTTGTGACCTTGGGCAGATTACTACCTGCGCCTCCATTTCTTGTTATTACATAGGGATAACAACAGGAAGGATTACCCGAACTTATGGAGAGGATTATGTTAATGCATAGATCTGAGGTTCAATGACCTGTGACACTTGGATGATCTGGGCACTTGTTAGAATGGAAGAATCTCAGGTCTCACCACAGACCTGTACAATCACAATCTGCATCTTACCAAGGAGCCCCTCTCCCCCCACTGATTTCTCTGCACATTTGTTTGGGAATCACTGATACAATCGATTTGGCATAGTGCTTAGCAGCACAGGCTACAGTGATCTTGTGATTGGGTTCAAAGGAAAAAGTCATGTGATTTCTTCTTATCACATAAATCCCAAATAAAAAGAATTCATCAAACTTGTACAGTCAGTCCCAGGTCAAATAAGTGAGTGATAAGGTTGTGGCTTCAATTTTGAGGGCATCCTCTATCTTCATGAAAGCATCAACTCCTGAGCAATGGCACTGATCAGAATCTGGGGGACAGAGATGTCCTACCTTAGGAAAAAGTACATATAGTTGTTTTGTCTGCTTGTATGTACACTACATGCATTCAATGCCTTGGTGGCCAGAACAGGGTTAAGATCCCCTGGAACTGGAGTTACAGATGGCTCTTAACCACCATGTGGGTGCTGGGATTTGAATATGGGTCCTCTGGAAGAGCAGGAACTGCCTTATGGGCTAAGCCATCTTTGCAATGTCCCAGAACTTGCCTTTCCAGAACATTTACCTTCTTTTGGTCTGCTGTTCCACCATTGATTTTTCCAGTTTTCCACAGTAGACAGCTGCTGCACAGGTGTGCCAATCTCCATTTCTAAAAGATAAAACCCTTGTGACTGTTTATAAGCACTATCACTGTGACCCCTGGAGAAATGTAAGAGCTGCTACTGACACCAATAGGACAGTAGGTAAATTTAGTGCTTTCATTTGGTCAAAATCAGTTTAACTTGAGGCTTGCTTAGATGAAAATAGAAAATATTGATTCAAACTAAGCTAGCTTTTCTGTTGAATCCACTAGAAGACTAAAAATGATATCAAAAGACTTTTTTCCTTTCTGTGGCAATAAAATAGCCTGTGCTGTTCACTGTGGTAGTCATTGCTTTGGAGCCTGTCCTGGAACTAGCTCTTTAGAACAGTCTGGCCTTGAACTCACAGAGATCAGCCTGCCTCTGCCTTCTGAGTACAGGAACTAAAGGTGTGCACCACCAACTCCCTGCCACTGTGGTTGGCATTAGCTGCATGTGGCTACCTAGCATTTGAAAAAGCTTGTTTGAATAGAGATGTACTTTGAGTATAACTTTAATTCCACTTTTCAAAGGATATTAGAAACAAGTGCCTCAGTGTTCTTATATTGGTTACACATTAAAATGATAGCTTGGATAGTACAGATCATAAATATTTGAAAATGAATTTCTCCTTTTGTGGCTACTAGACAGTTTAAATTAGACTCATATTTCTTATAGACTTCATGGTTCTAAGTAGAGGTCAGGTTTGGTTGTACCCCACAACCCCCACCCCGCCTAATACAGGGTTTCTCTATGTAGTCATAGCTGTCCTGGAACTCTTTCTGTAGACCAAGCTGGCCTTGAATTCACAGAGATCTACCTGCTTCTGCCTCCACACTGCTGAGATTAAAGTTGTACACCACCACCTGGCAAAGTTGGTATTAATTTTAATGGGTGGAATAGTAAGTACATTAAGCTTTATGGTTCATAGGGTCTCATTACATATTCTTGAGTTTTGTCGTTTGTTTGGAGGAGACACGGTTGAGACAGCATTCCTCTATATGTGTCTGGCTGGCCTGGAGCTCACAATGTCAACCATGCTTGCTGTGAACTTGCAGAGATACTTCTACCTTTCCTTTTCCAGTGAAGTAATTGGATTATAAGCACACACTACTGTGCTAGCTACTTTTGATTGTTGATTTAGAATCACTTCAGAAACAATTCTCTGAGTTTGGCTGCAAGGTATTTCTAGGAAAATTGAGGGGACCCCCTCCCACAAATGTGGGAAGTACTATTCCCATGGAATGGGGTCCTGGACTCGACAAAAAAAGGAGAAAGCACCTATGTGCAAGCTTTCATCTCCCTCTACCTCCAGACTGTGGATGTAATGTGACCAGCTGCTTCAACCACACCAACTTCCTCCCTATGTAGCCCCCCCCCAGAGTTTCTGCTCCATGATGGGCTATACCATGGAGCTGTGAGACAAATTAAACCCTTCCTAAACCTGCCCTTTTGTCCCAGTATCTACACAAGTAACAAACATAACCTCCATCCCTAGCAGTTGTTTTTTTTTAAACCCCTTAAATATTTAAAAACGATTCTTATATTGTAGGCTATAAACAAGATTTCACTTTTAGACTATATTTCCCTGGACCGTAAAATAATCAGAGACCATTAGTACTTTGAAGAATAAATGTAAGGCTTTAAGATTATAAACATTTGAGCCTGGGATTGTAGCTTGGTTTGTGGAGTGCTTGCCTACCATGCACAATGTCCTAGGTTTGCTCCCAACACTACTTAAACGAGATGTGTTGTCAAATCTCAGCACTTGGGAGGTAGAGTCAAGAGGATCAGAAATTCAAGGTCATCCTTTGCTATTTAGAAACTAGAGGTCATCCTGGTTATGTGAAACTATCTCAAAAATTACTATAAATCAGTGGTTTTTCCCTGTGGGTTGAAACCCTTTGGCCCTCTCACATGGATCACCTAAGACTATCAGAAAACACCATAGCAAAATTACAATTATGAAGTAGCAACAAAAATAATTATATGGTTGGGGGTCACCACAACATGAGGAACCATATAAAAGGGTCGTAGCATTAGGAAGGTTGAGAACCACTGTTGTTGAGCCACTAACATCTTGATTTCTTAAACAAAGTACTTATTTTCTTTATTTTTAATCTTTATTTAGTTCATGTTATAGATCTGTCCTTCAAATATGAGTGATACTGAACTGTTCTTTCTCTTAGTCATCTGTGTATTTTAAACATTCTTATGAAGACTGGCTGGAAAAGAATGGATTGAGCATCTCTCCTTTCCATATAAGATGGCAAACTTCAGTTTTTAATCGTGCCTTTTACAGTTGGGGACGGCGGAAAGCAAGGATGCTTTACCAATGGTACTTTTTGTCTTTAATTTTGGGGGTTAAATTATGATCATCAGAAATAGCCTATTAGAAATTCTGTCATTGTGCTTTTTCATACATTAAAAAATCATGGCACCTGCCCATAGTGGTGCATACCTGTTATTCCAGAAGGGCCAGTAGTTTGAGGCTATCCTAAGTTAGATTTCAAGTTTGAGGCCAGTCTGAGCTACATGAGAAGCTTGTCTCAAACAAAAAAAGCAAGCAAAATTTACTTGGGGAGGCTGGAGAGGTGGTTCAGTAGTTAAAAGCATTTGCTGTTCTTCCAGAGGACCCAAATCAAGTAAAAATAAATAAAATAAAGACATAAGTAAGTAAGACACTTAGGGAAATTTATGATTTTGTGTTTTCCATGGTCTTTGGGATACCTAATATCCTAACAATTTTTTTAAAGATTTATTATTTTTATTTTGTATGTTTGCTTTGTTGAATATGTACCACCTGCATGCAGTACTCACAGGAACCAGGCAGGTATGAGATCCCCTGAAACTGGAGTGGCAGACAGTTATGAGCCATCATGTGGTACTAGAAACTGAACCTGAGTCTTCTGCAAGAGTAGTCAATGCTCTCAACCTCTTAGCCATGTCACCAGCTTCCCATAACAGGGTTCATAGTCCAGAGAATTGTGGGTTCATGAATAATGTGCTCTACTCTTTGTTAAAAATAAAGCTTCAAGTAGGAATCCCAGCACTCAGAATACTGAGGCAGGAGAATTGAGAATTTGAGGGAAGCCTGAAGAACATAGCAAGTTCCAGGCCAGTCTGGAATATATAGGGAGCTCTCTCTCTCTTTCTCTCTCTCTCTCTCTCTCTCCTTCTCTCTCCACATCTCTCTCTCTCTCTCTCTATATATATATATATATATATGTATATATACATATATATATATCACAAATATACAAGTATAAATTCCAAATATATTCAATCTAAATGTAAACAATTAGATAATCAAAATATACAAACCTAAAATTCAGTTCATTGAAAAAGCTAACAAAATCAATTAAGCCTAGGCCATGACTAAGAAAAAACAATAACTAACAATCAGAACTGAAAAAGAAGACAATACTTCAAATTCTATGAACAATAAAACAAAAATAATGTTATTACAAACAATACATTTAAATTCTTATATTTTACAACAGAACTTATGAAAAGGAACAGGTTAGTTCCAGCTGTAAAAGAGTAATTTTAATTATTAAAATGACAGAATAATAAAACTATTAAATTTGACTCCATTGATATTTAAATTAGTTTATCCCAAAGTGAAGCTAAAATAAGATGTAGATAGAATGGATAAAATAATGAATGGATGCCCCTATGTTAAGAGCATTCCTAACAATATTATTAGACACAATCAAGCCAGTGCTATCTAAATGATCAAATGGAGAGGAAACTCCCCAACCCCCTTTTTAAAATTGGCAACAATATATAGCTTTTTTAGGTGTCAGAGTATTTTAGTTTGTTATACCTGCCTATTAGTCAGTAACATAGTTTAGATAGGGAAAACAAGGCCTTTTTGTCCATTGTTTAAGTTAGGAAACATGGCCAGTTAGTTACTTTGTTAATATATGCATTGTGAAGAATTGTACACTTACATGTTTGTTTTTGTCCTTGTTGCCAGGTTCAATTTTGGAATGGTGTTTGGCGTAATTGCCATGTTCAGCTCATTCTTTCTCCTTGGAAAAACACTGATGCAGACTTTGGCACAGATGATGGCTGACTCTCCCTCTTCTTCCTCTTCCTCTTCCTCCTCCTCTTCCTCCTCCTCTTCTTCCTCCTCCTCTTCATCTTCTCTTCACAATGACCAGGTGTTGCAAGTTGTGGTAAGTATACTCTAGGTTTTTTGTTGTTGTTGTTGTTTGTTTGTTTTTTGGTTTTTGTTTTTTTTTTTTTTTTTGCTTTTAAACTGCTGAAAACACAAATATATTTTTTCTGGCTGGTGTGGCTATAATATATAACATAAACATTAAAGTAAAATGCCTCATACATTTTCAAATTACACACTTAACCAAAAACCATTAGTAGGACATTACCAGAAATTGTCACAGTATTTGATGGAAGTGGCAGTACCTGTAGCAGAGACTAAACTGACTAAATTAAGACAGGCAGCCATTCCAGGTTGTCATTCACTTAGGTTGTCTCCTGGAAGTGTGAAATGAGTAGGCATTCTGACTTGAGATCTCTGTAACTGGAATAAAATGCATGTTGGCGCTGTGAAGCACTCCTCTGTCCTCATGGTTTTTAGAATTTAACCAGTTATCTCCTTTTAAGTAAAAGTCGAAGGCTGAGATTGGGGGTAAAGACATTTTTGAATGTTCACTGTCATTTCATTGAAATTGACTCTCACTCTGTTAGATAGACTAGGCTAGTACTTGCTTTATAGTTCAAGCTGCCCCCAAACTTGTGGAGATTGTCCTGCCTCAGTCTTCCAAGTGCTGAGATTTCAGATATGAGTCACTACAACTATGTTTTGATTTTTTTTTTTTTTTTAAGATTTACGTATTTTATTTTTGTGTGTGAGAGTGTTTTAACTGCATGTATGTGTACTGTATGCATGCCTGGTACCTAGAGAGGCCAAAGGGTGGCACTGAATTCCCTGGAACTATAGCTATAGACAGTTGTGAGCCACTGTGTGGATGCTAGGAACCAAATCTGGGTCCTCTGCTGGTCCATCTCCCCATCTTAATATAAAAAAATTGTGTGCTAGGTTTATTCCTTTGGTTAAAAGATATTATAGTAATTTTTATTTTAAAGCACACGTGTAGGCTTATCCTTTCTTTAGGCAGTACTGAGGTTTGAAAGTACAGCATCATGCATGTAAGCCAAGTGCTCTACTAAGCTGTAGTCCCTGCTCTTATCTCTTACCTTTTGCCAACTTCAGTTTGCAAGAGTGTTCAACATTGGCTCACTTTTGCATCATATTTTTTTCAACTTTTATTTATGTATTTCTAACTTACATTTTATTTGTAGTTTTCATTCCATGAGTTATAAATGTTGCATTTGATCATGTTCTTGTTAATGGGACATTTAAGGGTAGAAACAGATTTTTTTTAAAAAAAAGAAGCAATCTTATCTCTATGACCTCTGCTAAGCTTGGCCAATGGGGGGAAAACTTAGGTGTGATTTATAGAGAATAGAAGTTGAGATGATTTGTTGGGTGAAGCTGCATAAGACATGATATATTGCTTCAGTAAATATTGATGAGTGTATCTTGCCTGCTAGCTATGTACTAGGTCCCACTTATGTGGGAACAAAACCCAGTGCTCACACTCACGGAACTTTTAGTTTAGAAGGTGAAATGCTGTGATTGTTATTTGATTGGACATTATACAAGGTGCTATGACAACAAAAGAAGTATAAGGTGTACCTGGTACTAGGAAAGAAGAGAGCAGAAGGGTGAGGACAGTTTACATAGTCTGGAAAAGGAAGATGGGACTCCATGAGAACTGAGCTCCTCAGGAGGAATAGAAGGATCACTGTAACATTGAACACTAAGAATTATCATAGTTATCATAAATAAGTAGGTAACAGTCAATATTTTCCATATGTGGTTTCTGTGCATGCTTTATTTTGTTCTCTTAGCACATTGCCAACAGGCAGGATACACTCATAAAGTTTACTTTGTTCTCCCTGACTTACAGATGAGAAAAACAAAGTTCAGAGATATTGCATCATTTGCCCATGATCACATTTAGTAAATAGGGTGTCCATCATCTGTTAAGATAAGAGTCTACGCATATAATATTATACTCCTTTAAAAAGACAAATAAGCCAGCCCTAGTCATGTAGGCCTATAATCCCTGAGGTCTATAACTACTGAGGAGGCTGAGGCAAGAGGATTGCAAGCTTGCCTTGGCTACAAAGTAAGTACAAGGACAACATGGGCAACTTAGTGAGAATCTCTCCCAAAGTAAAAAGTAAAAGAAAGTGTTGGGAGGAATAACTCCGTGATAGATCACTTGCCTAGCATGCATTAGGCCCTGGGTTCAATTTGAGGGGAAAGGGGAAAGGAGAGAGAGAGAGACAGAGAGAGAGAAAGAACACGATGAAGGGAGGGAGGGAGGTTGGTTCATTTGTTCAAAGAAGTATATATAATTTTGACCTGCCCCTATGAATAATATGGTGAAAGCTTAGGGAAGTGTACTATAAGAAAATAGTATGAAAAGTAGGAGTTAAGATCAATAGAGTGAGTCATTATAGGTTTAAAGAGAAATCTGGCACTAGGGGAATGTACAGAGATCCACAAGGATGACGCCTATTAAGAATCTAAGCAATAGTGGAGAGGCTACCTTAAATATCCTTCACTTATAATGAGATTGATGACTACCTTAATTGCCATCTGATAGAGGCAAAAGCAGAGATCTACATCTAAGCACTGAGTCAAACTACTGGAATCCAGTTTCAGAGAGGGAGGAGTGATGAACAAAGGAATCAAGACCACACTGGGAAAATCCATAGGAATAGCTGACCTGAACAAGTGGGGAGCTCATGCTCCCCAGTCTGATAGCTGGGAAACCAAATCAGACTCCCTGAACATGGGTGTCAGCTAGGAGGACTGAGCAGCCTATGGGACCTCTGTCAGTGGAACCAGGATGTATCCCTAGTGCAAGCAGACTTCTGGAACCCATCCCCTTAGCCTAGAGACATGGGGGAGAGCCTAGACCCTACCCCAAATTACTTGACAGACTTTGATGATCTCTCATGGAAGGCCTCACCCTCCCTGGGGAATGGATTGGGAATTGGGGGAGGTCATGGGAGGATGAGAGGGAGAGGGAATTGGGATTGATAACTAAAATGAGGAAAAATAAATATAAATAATTATTTTTTTAATAGGAAGATGGGAGATAGATGTAGTATCTAGACCAGGAAAGACTTTTCTGAAAATTTAGATTAAAGACAGGGAGACCATTTAAGAGTACAGATGAAATGATTCATGTTAGAAGTAATAAGGGTTTAAAATATATTTTTGGCAAAGAGAATGAAGGCCCCTGAGGGCGTACCCAGGCAGAAGATAGCCCTATACCCATGCACATAGTGGCAATACTAAGAGGATTCAGTGCATTTAAAAAACTGATGAAGTTAGGAGGGAAAAGTGGTGGTGGGATGAGGAAGGAGTTGGAGGGTAGATTTGATTAAAACACGCTATCTGTATGTATGAAATTCTCAAATAGTTTCTAAAGGGGAGAAAAAGAATAAAGGTGATGGTTTTTTCATTATGAATCTCAGACAGTGATTAATTTAATGTGAAGCTGGATGGTGCAGGGACAGTTTAAGGATGACTCTTGGTTATACAACTGGTTAATGTTCAAGATAGAAGAGGGAAGGAAGCCTGTTAGAGAAAATCTGCTCAATGGCCTGCCTGCCAACCAGAATTCCAATGGGTATAGGGCTACCTTCTGCCTGGGTACGCCCTCAGGGGCCTTCATTCTCTTTGCCAAAAATATAGTTTAAACCCTTATTACTTCTAACATGAATCATTTCATCTGTCATGTAGGGAAAATTATTTTTCTCTTTGCTTCTCAGTTTATTCAACATTCATAAAACTACCAGATGTTCTGTGCTTTGCGATTGTTAAAAAAAAAAAAAAAAACCAGAAGCCAGATAGTCTACTGTGCATTTTTGTGTATAATTTTAAGAATGCCTTGTCTCTTGTCTTTGATATAGTCCTTGGAGCTAAAGAAACATATTTCTGGCTTCCTCTCTAATTCCCTCTAGCCTTGTTCAGTATTAATTCCCACAACCCTGGCACTGTGTGCTGTTGAAAGTGTTCTACGTTCAGTGTTCTGGTACATCTAATACTCTGTGCAATCATGGCAGAGACAGATGGTAATCTTGTACTGTTGCCAGCCAATAAGACCTGCCATCTGTTGCTGTACTCAGTCCCAAACTCAGACTCTTACCTTGTCTTACTTACTTATTAGTGTATCCAGAAGATAGTGTAGATAAGGAACAAAAAAAAAAAAAAAAAAAAAAAAAGAGCTGGTTGCATAAAATGAAGTGACTTATATGAAATAAAGGCAAACTGTGCTTTGGTTTAGGTTGTTTTGTGAGCTATATAGCATATATGAGAGCTAATCTTAAGGGAATACATTTAAAGAGGTGTCAGAAACAGGGAAGCTACTAAGCTGAACTTACTCAGCATGGGAGCAGAGAAATTGTGGAGCACAAGGGACACTAGTATTTGTGGAAGAAAGAAGTTGATCAGTAAGGTGTGAGTGAAGAGAATTCCAGATAACAATATAGCACACACACATTAAGAATGTTGATTGTGAAAATGGGTTTCGTAATGAGAGAATGCACTTGGAATTGGTGGCATTTCAAAAATGACTGAACCACATTCTGTAAACCCTCATTGATTAAAAGGCTTAAAACAAAGTTTGACTGAGAGAGTGGTAAAAATTCAGGGTCACAAACGTCCTGGAAAGAAAAGCAAAAATCAGGTTCTTAATTCACTTGAACACTGAATGAGGAAGACATAAAATTCACATCAGAACTATGAGATATTTTTATGTGACAGTAAACAGTATATCTTTGTCCTTAGTTATTTTTGATTTTTAAGGATGTTATTTTTAGTGCAGGCTTAAGTTTATAGCAGTATTGAGAGGAAATACAGAGATTTCCCATGTACTTCCCACACAAACACAGCTGGCTCAACCAGAGTGGTCCACTTGTTATTGTTGGTAAATCTAAACTGATGGGCCATCATCACCCAAGGTCCATGGTTTACATTTACAGTTAGTCTTGATGTTTTAGAAAATGTTGAATATTGATAGATTTGATAACCCCTAAATTTTTTTTTAAAATATTTTTTCTGTTTTTTTTT